ATAAAATATAATTTCTTTTCTCCCAATATCCAAAGTACTATCGTCTCTTTTCTCACCTTACTAATACTATCGTGATTTTTTTTTTCTCTCCCCATAATCCAGCATCCCCTACCTCCATGTATTCAGACGACTCGTTTGCTTCATCCGCGACTGTGAGGTAGCACCTTCTTCTCTCTCTCAATCACCATATATATATGAATATGTATATAAACATATGTTATATTTGCTTTGTAGTTTTCAATATCTGTTGCTTGCACGGTGCACCCCGGGCTTCTCTGAATCTTTCTTGAAGAAGAAAGCCCCATTGCTCGTGCTAGATCGCCGCCGTCTAGTGTTGCAGTTTAGCCTTGTACCTCTTTCCACGGCTCTTCTGTGTCAAATTGACGGCCACATATTATCTCACCTTTTTCTAACCAAAAAAGTATTCGATCTCATAAAATTAATATCTTTCTCAATTTATTTTTGGCCATGATTATATTTTATCCGCGCTTTTGAAAGCAATTTATGAAGCATAAGAGGAAAAAAATTTGGTTGAATTTCTTGATATGAGCCAATTCTTATACATATTGCTGTCTTGTAGATTAACATATATTTTTAAATCTTTTAAATTTAATTCTTGTATTAAATTTTCAATAGTGGCAGTGATGATTGCACAGCTAAATGCCAGTTCTGCTTCAGAAAAATCTTGATAGAAAAAGCTGTTTTTCTCTGAGCCATATTTTGTTTTTATAAAATTTTAATTCAAAATCTAATTGCATACGGTAGGTGTATATATATATATATATACACTATCTGATCGTCTCTTTTTGTGTAAAATTGGTTTTTTTATGTGTTAGATTTCAGTGATGAGCAATCCATATTTTTTTGAGGTGTGGTTGGCTTCAAGACCCTGTTTTCAGGGAGAACCTACTTGGGGTGACCACATCAAGTATGAAATTAATGGATCTTTCTGAGTCAGTTTACTATTCTTTTAATAAAAAAATATTAAAATCTTTTGCATATTAAATTTACCCAAAATCAATTTGTTAGTTTGTAGGTGCCAAGGATGATCTAATCCATGTTGTTTGAGGTGCAGTAGATCCAAGTCTCTGCTCTCCAGAGAGAACCTACTTGGTGAAGAGATGTAAATGATAGGTAACCTTACTTTTATTGTTATTTATAGAAAGACTGTTCCGAATTCCAACCCACAACATCACCCATAAGTTGATGAACATCATATCTAATTTGTTAAAAAAAGAAAAAATCATATATAATACACAAGCATAAATTAGTACGCAAAATCTGCATATACTGGAACACAAACCAAATTATAATAAACACAAGTGTACGTACTTGAAGCTATGCCATTTAACATATTGGAACATCTTCTTATTCAAATCCCCCAAGCTTCTGAACTATATTCCCAACCTTTTTGTGTACTCCAAATGGGCTTCATAGATATGTTGCCGATCAGGAAGACACTTGGACTCTATCTCTCCATGCACCTCTTGCCCCATGCCACTAACTTGGGACACTCTGCTTCAAAACTCAAGTTTGCAAAGGACTTGAATATCGTAAACCAATTATAAAAGGGTACAAGTGCAATATCCACAAACCCAAATGTCTCTCCCCCAAAATAAGGCTTCTCACCAAGCTCTCCCTCCAACAACTTGGCCCATTCCAGTAGTTCTTTCTTTCCTGTTTCAAGCTCCTCTCCTTTGCTCAACCATATCTTCCTACTAGATCCATGTACCTGCCCTCAATTTGTATGATGGAAAATTTCTTGGGAAATCAGGAAATGTTTTCTAGGAAAACAAATGGAATTAGAAGAAAGAAAATCATACCTTTGTGTCAATGAAGTTGGTCCAGAACCTTGCCTTTGCTGTGAGGTAAGGATCAGAGGGAAGCAAAGGAGGTTTGTCATTCCAAACCTCATCCATGTATTGTATTATTATGTTGGATTCACAAATGGGTTTACCGTTATGAATCAAGACTGGAATTTTTGCATGGATTGGTTCATCTTCGTAAGCAGAGGACTTTTGCTGTCCATGTCCTCGTTCTTGCGTTCATAGTCGATCCCCTTCTCTGCCAAGGCGATTCTTGCCCTCGTCCCAAAAGGACTAGGCCAGTAATCTAGCAAAACTATTTCACTTGCCATTTTTGTGCAAATGGAAAAGCTTAAAAATAACCTAAAATCAGAGAGAGAGGGAAGGGGGGGGGGGGGGAATTACACCTTCTGGTTATGGCTTCAGATGAAATGAAATGGAGTGAGAAGAAATATGTAGAAAAGGTTCCAATAAAGGTTGGTTTGATTAGCTTAGGATGAATATCAAAAAGCAATCAGCAAGACCAATGGATCTAGTAGAAAAGTTCAACTTGTATTCTGATTTTAAGTCACACCTATTATAAAATGTAGAGAGGAAAAAGACTGATCACAACTGGTCAAATTAATTAAGCGCCCTTTTTTGGCAAAAAATAAAATAAAAAGGTAAGCGCCCTTTTTAAACCAGAAATAATCTAGGGCAAATTACATTCATACCCCTTGAGGAGGTTGAGTCATATTTCACCTAAATTAACATTTTGGTTTTAAATTTCACTTACATTTAAATTATTGGTTTAACATTTCACTCAACACCCCAAATGTCAGTTTTTGGTGGGGACAGAGTACTTTTGAGGTGTTAAATGATTATGCTACCCTTTGACCTCGTGTTGATTATATTTTTTTGACCAAACTAACCGCCAACATACACCAACGCCGAGGAGAGAAAAAGGAATATCCACGTCAGCAAAATACTTCACACATAAGCCATCTTCTCTCTCCTCCAATCTCTCTCTGCACCGACCCCTGCTCTGACGGCGGCGGAGGATGTCGCATCGTCTTCCCTCAGGGCCGATGGTGAGCTTGGTTTTGGAGTCGATCAATTCGGCTATGGACTCGGCCAGGTGAGAGAAGTCTCTGGCGTCCATCTAAATCGAATCATCCTTGAGGTTGCAAGGCATCGGGGCCGATGAGGTGGATGTAAAGGAGGGCTTTGATGCCGAACTTTCTCTCTGTGCACTGTGAAAGTGCAAAGAGAGAAAGTGGTTGCCGTCAATTGCCACTTTCGCCTTGGCCAGATCCGGTTTATTTTTTCCGGGTGTAATTCTTCTCTCCTAACTTTCTCTTTCTACAACGCTTGAAATCCTCTTCAGATTCTTAATCAATGATTTCACCCACATCGCCAATTGGGATTTTGGTAAAATTCAGCAAAACCATTTCATCATTATTCTTTCACACATGCCGCTAAAGCAGCAAACCCATTTCCTCACCATAATATTCACCCTCTCTCTCTCACTGTATCTATGGAAATATATCTCATGAGTTTATTTTTCCAAACTCTAATTCGTGTCAAAGAGGTGACACTGCTAAGGTGTTTCAGATTGAGCATTAGTTGTTTATTGGGCTTTAATTTTTTGGATTGTTTCTGGTAAAAACCCCAATTGAAGTTTTGGATTAATTTTTCAGGTTTGCTGGTTTAGGGGGTGAGAAAGATTAATGATGAAATGGGTTTGCTGGTTAGGTGGGTGAAAGAAAGATGGCCATAGATGGGTTTGTTGGTTGGGTGAGAGACAAAAGAAAGAGAAAAGAGGTTAAGACTGTTGGTGGTGGTGGAAGCTAACAGGGGAAGAAAATGAAGGAGGAGTGGCTCTGCCCAAAAATTTGTCTACAGGAAGAGGAGAGAAAAGTTGCTGATGTATGCGTTTGGACGGTTAGGATTGCTCAGGACCATAGATGACTTGGTGGTCCCGGGACTACCCAATAATTTATCGTGTACAAACAGTATATATATGTATACAGAGGGGCCTTTTCGTCATTTAAGATTACATATATTTTGTATTAAAAATTTGAGGGTAAAAGGGTCAATCCGCATGTGTAAGAGACAAAAATTAAATTGGGGTGTAAGTGAAAGTTAAAACTAAAATCTTTATCTAGCTGAAATATGGCCTAAACCTTAACGGGTGTCTATGTAATTTGCCCAATAATCTATATTCATCGGTGTGCAATTTTCATTCTATTTCTGTTCTGCTAAAAGAAACCCCGTTGAAAAGAGTTCAACCCTTACGAAACACACACCCCACCCACATAATTCACTTTACCCTTTTAAAGACACTAACATACCTTTATTTATGCTATGTTCGGTAGGAAGGAAAGAAGAGGGGTGGAAGGAAAATAGGAAGGAATGAACAAATTTCCTTTAGAGATGATATAAGGAAAAAAGGATAATAGGAAGGATGAGTCATCTTTCCTCCTTCACAAATTTGTATCCGTAATATGTGCGGAAGATAGGAGAGAAGACAAGTGAGCCTATTATAGAAGTTTTAAATTACTACATCATCCTTCATAAATATTTAATAAATCCCATAAATAAAGTAGTGATGGGTTTAACGGTAAAAACAACTTAAAATTTATCTATTCTTTTATCCTACAGATCAAATTAAATTGCCAGGTTTTTCCATTCTCTTCCATCCAACTGAACAAAATTAGAGAAATACTTAATCTCTTCCCTAGGGATGTCTCAGTCATCCCTTCTTCTCTCCCTTCCATTCAATTTTTTTTCTTCCTACGGAACGGAGCATAAGGAGATAGAGGAAATATCACTAACCACGCGGCCTTAGTGTATATAGTATGCACCTAGAATAATTTGTGTAAATCTGTAATATGTATACATGAAATTAATTATATATAACACCTCATAAATTTTTTAATGATACTTCTTGCAAAAAATTATAGGGTTTATCTGACTTTTTCACGTAAATTTTTTTCATTTTTTTAGACTTCAATAACCATTGAATTTCAAGTACCGCAAACACGTTGAGGGGTAATATGGTCAATTCGCAATGGGCAACTTTTACCTTTAATCTGTGAGAAATTTTGGCCCTGGAGGTTTATTCTAGGGTTCAAATTGCAAACTTTATCCAAACTTGAAGGTCGTCTGGTAATTTAGCCTTTTTGTAGAGTTTTGGGGAAGTTGCAAGTCGAAGAGAGACAAGAAGAAGAAGAGTAAGAAAGACTCAAGAGAGACAGCTAAGGTTTCTGAGCATTTACAGTAACATCGCAATTGATTTTCGGATAGTGAGCCCAAAACCTTTGTAATGCCAGGTACACATTCCCTTCTCTTGATTTGGGTCAATCTTATATTCAGATCCCATTGTAATTTTATTATCTTCTCGAAATTCAAACAAAATCATTTGCTTTGTATTATTGAATCGATGATCAGAGCAAGAAGAGGCAAATATTGGGAGGAGAGGTAGAGCCGCAGTGGTGGTTCTCGGTGATATTGGCCGCAGCCCTCGAATGCAATACCATGCCCTTTCACTTGCCCGTCAGGTATTCTTCACTTACCAAACTCATTACACAAGCATATGTATATGTTTATGATCTTATCAGATGAAGAAACACATAACTTTTAATTTTGTTTGCTGGCAAAAAGAATTACGCTTCTGAGATTTTGGCCTAATAGAGTTTTTTTGCTAAAGTTGAAATTCAGAGCTGTTTGAATTGCAGTTGCAAATAAAACTAAAAATATATAGAATTGAGTCTATTTATGTAAGGAAAATGTTTATGAAAAGTGTTCTACACGCTGCTCGACAAACACTATTTGATTCATCACAGCCAACACTTTTCTAGCAGCTCTACTTTGAAAAGTCTATTTGTTTTTTACAAGACAAGCAGTCAAGGACCTACTGACTGGATGCGAAGTGAAAGTTGAAGCCTTTTTTCAAGGCCAATAAAGATTACATTTATGCATAACCTTTTTTTATCTTTATGTTATAACATCAGCTTATGGTGGTTTGGGTTTGACCGGTTTGTAGATGAGCTTATGTATACAATTTATTACTATTATTTTTTAAGCTACACCCTTATTGAAATCAAAAAACACTTTTCAAGGGTTTTTAAGCGGATTTACATGAAAATTTATTGGTGCTACCGTTGAGGTAAGATGCCGATTAATGCTTCTCAAGGAGAAATCTTCTCAATGTTTCTTTTTCCCATCTTCTTGGGTCCACAATATGGTCTGTAGAATTACACATAAAGCCCCCCATCAGCGCATCCAGACTTGAACCTATTCCTTCCCTAAATGGGAGCAGCAGATACGACCTGATCCACACAACTGTTGATCTCTCATTTTACCATTTATCAATTGATATCTAATTTGGGAGCATCATAAGTTATGATAAAAGTCATTAAGACTAGGTCATGTGTGTGTATGCGCACGCAGTGACAGACCTATAAAATTATATAAATGGGGCAAACTTATATAGTGGCGTTTTTCTGTAATTTCGGTGGGGGCAATTTTAAAATTTTATGGTTATATAATGCAAAAAACTAAATATTTTAAGGGTATATAATATAAAAGTAAAAAATTTCAGTGGGGACGCATGCCCCCACTGAGCCCACGGTAGATCCGTCCTTGTGCACTCATGCATGATAGAAGCAAAAGTTTAGTGGGGATTCTAAAAATAGAGAATATCGAGGAGAGTAATTTTGAAAGGTTACATAAGTGTATTGTAAAGTATAATGGATGTGTTATTTGAAAGATAGATGAATATTCACAATTAACAAGTAATCAATAGGAATTATGAAAATTTTGTATCTGGTGATGGATTAACCTTTCGTATTGTGCTAGTTAAATGATATATGAATTTTTTGTATCTTTAAGTTCTACGGTTTTTTGATCTCATTTTCTCTTTCAGGCATCCCTAGAGGTGGACATTGTTGCATATGGAGGTATTTTTATGAGGATTGGATTAAATCGAATTGTTATTTATCAAGATTCTAATTTTTCGGTTGAATTGCTGCATGGCTTTCCTTTTACTTGATAATTGGAGTCCAATTAGAATTTGAGGAATGTGAATTACTAGCCAATTTCAAGGCTTTGTGGAGGGTAACTAATTGGGACTCATAATTTTCATTCGGACTAAAACAAGGAGTCTACTCTAACTATCTAAGTTTGATACTTTGTTTCTGTTTTTTTTTATTTTTTTTATTATTATTATTTTTTTTCCGGAGATTTAGTTTGACTTGAATCATGGTTGGTAATTTAAGCTTATGGAGTTGAACTAGGCAAATTACTAATCAAACCTAATTTTTGTTAATTGCAAGAAACATATTCAATTCATTAAGGCCCTGTTTGGCTAAGCTTCCTGAGGGCTTCAAACAGGCTTCCAAGCCCAAAAAGGCATTCCTAAAAAAAATGGGTGTTTGGTGGCATTAATGAAATGGGCTTCTAACAAAAGTGGAAGCCATCAAAAGCGCGTTAAGCCAAAGCTACAAATACCTGCTTCCAATATAGGCTGGTGGTGCCAACAAAGAAAACTTAACGCCTAAATGCGAATAAGGTTGCATTGTATTAATTTTTTAGAACCTCCACCAATCGGCTGGAGGTGGTAGTGGTCACCATCAATTTTAACGATGCTGGCAAAGAAACTGGGATATAAGAGAGAGGAAGGAGGATGAGGGACTCCTGAAGTAGCGTGTTGTACAGAAAAACAAAGGTTGTAATTTAATAAACAATAAAGGTTAATACAGGCAATGTAATCAATATTTAAGGATGAAATAGTAATCTTATAATATTCCAATATATTCCAACAACCCGAATATATTGGAATATTATAAGATTACTATTTTATCCTTAAATATTGATTACATTGCCTGTATTAACCTTTATTGTTTATTAAATTACAACCTTTGTTTTTCTGTACAACACGCTACTTCAGGAGTCCCTCATCCTCCTTCCTCTCTCTTATATCCCAGTTTCTTTGCTAGCATCGTTAAAATTGATGGTGACCACTACCACCTCCAGCCGATTGGTGGAGGTTCTAAAAAATTAATACAATGCAACCTTATTCGCATTTAGGCGTCAAGTTTTCTTTGTTGGCACCACCAGCCGATTGGTGACGCACCACCTCTGTGCGTCGCCATGGATTCTGTTGACTAGAAAATAAAGAATCATGTTTAGATTTATTTATTTATTTATTATTATTTCTTTTTTGTTGGGTGTGAACGTGTGCTTTGCTTGATTTTTCCCTTTTTAGCCTCTTTGATGATAGAATGAAAAAAAAAAAACTTTAGAAATGGGGGAGTCAATATATATATATGAGAAGGGTTTGAACTAACACAAATGCGTTTCATGGTAATGGTGCATTTATATGACTCTGGTGTAAGCCGTGACTCGAAAGAGGTAGCTTTGAAGTCATCTTTTCGTTTGAGATGGACTTGCACCAAATTAAGAGTCATTCTAAGATTAACATGGAGATGAATAATTATGGAGTTGTCCAAATCTAAGGGATAATGATTAATTGTGTATTTTTATATGTATATACTTGTATCTTATAATTGGTAATGCTGTATATACTTTCTCTCATAATTGGTTCTCTAATACATGGTTTTCTTGTTAAGGAAATGTGAGGATAACATTGTCACTTTAAAAATATTAAATTATGTGGTTGAAATTATTTCTTAATTCAAAAGGACTTTAAAAATTAAATATACCAAACATATTTTCTGATTTAAATTCCTTTTATCGAAAGTTCTTCTTCAAGGACTTTCTTAGTAAAGGACTTCTTGGCATCAAGAAGCTCCCCCAAACAGGGCCTAACTCTTTAAATAAGTCCTTTTCTTAATTTTTTTTTTTAACATGATTAGATTTTAAAACTTAGCTCAACAAATCTTTACCTTGCTATTTGGACTACGAAGTTGGCAACATAAACTCTTTTTCAGGTTTTTATTTTATCAAGGGCTGTATTTTTTTAGTAATTATGGATAATATATGCAATTTGGTGCTTATAGTTTAGCTTCGTAAAATGTGCTCCCAAATACAAGTGGATAAGGATGAGCTCTCGAGTACAAGTGGAGACATGTCATATGCATGGCGACTTAAATCACACCACTGGACTGATGTCACAGAAATGCAATGAAAAACAATTACTGGATAATTTTTATTTTAAATTAACATATTCTTCGGAGTCACCAGACCTATTTAATTGGTGCAAATATTCTATATGCTAGACTCGAGTGATTAAATGAATCTTGAATACATCTTGATACAAAAGTAGAAATGTTTCAAATGTTATCCCGAATCTCTGCAAAAATTAAGCTGAGTAACTTGATTTTTTGTTGGAAGATACATTTATCAATTTTTTTTTGTGTTTTTATCTCCTAGTGCTTTACTAATTCTGATGATTAATTTATTACCTTTAAAATGCTTGGATAGGTTCTGATCCCCACTCAGCTTTACTAGAGCACCAATCAATCCATATTCACACAATGGTACTTATTGTACTTTAATCTTTCTAGATTGAATGCTTATGAAACTTTCAAATTGGTTCTATAATTTTTTCCTTTCTTATTTCTTATTTCTGGTTCTGCAGACCCAGTGGCCAACGATCCCTCGGAATTTACCAAAGATACTTTATCCACTGATGCTTTTGCTCAAGCCATTGATTCAGTTTCTTATGCTTCTATGGTTTCTGTGTGTTAAAATACCTGCTCCTGACGTTTTTATAGTACAGGTGAGCTTTGAAACTTCCACTTAGATGAGACGGAGCTATTTAAATTTTGAAGACCTTCAGAAGTTATATAGATCTAGTGGCTTTTCATTTGACCTGATATTTTTTGTTAGTACAGATAGAAATACTACTGCTTTGTGTAACTGCTTAAGAGGTAAGTGGTGACATGAAATCATTGTTAGTATACAAGGATGACCAAAATCTGTCATTGCGTTTCGCAGATGCATAATTAAAACTACTTGTGTATCATCTGATGTGTATTATTTTCATGTGTTGACATTACTGTTCTTCCTCTTGAGTTCTGGCCAAAAAAAAAAAAAAGAAAGTATTTCAGTTTCCTCTTTGTCATGGATTTTATGTGCCCAGCAGGGTATTATTTAATTTCTTATCTCTCAAAAAATAGTTGGCCCCTTATCTGCAAAGTGTAGCTGTGTTTGATATCATGATTCGAGTCAGAGTTTACTTATTAAATTGGATTGCTTGTGCCCTATATTCTTCAATTATTATTTCATTCTAATCCACGTGGTGTTTACTTGTGTAGAATCCACCTTCTGTTCCAACCTTAGTGGCTGTAAAGTGGGCCAGCTGGCTGAGGCGTTCCACTTTTATTGTCGATTGGCATAACTTTGGATATACTCTGTTGGGATTGTCTCTCGGAAGAAGTAGTCATTTTGTGACATTATATCATTGGTATCTATTGGCTGCCTTTTGAACTTCTTCTTCCCTTATATATATTTTGAGGGTCTGTCGTTTGCTGTACAACAGAAGTATGAGCTTTTGGCATCTACTTAGGTTTGAGAAGCATTTTGGGAAGATGGCAAATGGTTCGTTATGCGTGACAAAGGCAATGCAGCATGAATTGGCACAAAACTGGGGAATTAAGTAAGAGGGTCAGCTCAAAGTTTGCAATATACTTCATTCTGCTTGTTCATGTTTCCTAGTAGGTGTTCTCATGGTAATTCTGGGTTCTCTTTGTGTTTCGAAATTACAGAGCCACAGTTCTATATGATCAGCCTCCAGAGTTTTTCCGTCCAGCTTGCATTGAGGAGAAGCACAAGGTGAACCAAAATTTTCATTGCAAAGTTCTCATCAGGAGAAAAGAACATTGACTTGAAGAATTAAATGTGAACTGTGGATTCTAGTTGTTTTGTAGGATTGATAAATATGTCGGTCAACCTTATGGCCTTCGGGATTGCATCAGCAATGGTAATGTGAAATGATAAAGTAATTCTGTACTTATTTTTACTAAGGTTGAGTTTGAGTCAACATTACTTTTGGTGACATATTGCAGGAATTACAGAAATGGGGAACCCTGATTCAAATGAAACTTTATTTACAACCCAGGTTGGCACGGACATTTTGTTGAAGCGAAACAGGCCTGCGCTTATTGTTAGCAGCACAAGCTGGTGAGTTTTTGTATATGCATTTTATTCAATCTGAACTATGTATGGTTGTTATTTTATCATATGAAGTACATTAAAAGAGCGTCAGAGGGGTTGCATGCGCACGCAAAGTATATAGGAGTGAACCCACAACCAAAAAACTAAGAAAGCATATGGAAATTTAAATTATGTACAAAATCCATGGAAGTATCTTAAGAGGGATTTCCCCTCTCTGCAGTCCAGCTGAACAACAATTTCTGAAACTCCTGTTTCTACCTAAGAATTGGTATCTCTTCCATAATCTTATTATCTGGTTCATCATTTTCTCTGTATAGTATAGTAGCACCAAGTTTGTAATAGATTATTTCTTTTTGTAGAGTTTTAGATTTTGCATTTCTTTATTTTTTTATTTCTTATTCTTCTGTTTTTGAAACTTAATGATAAGCTTTGCAATTTGTTTTACTGATTAATACAACATACATAAGAAAACAAGGTTATTCCATTGTTAGTTTGGTTGCGTGCAAAGAAATTTAGGTGACAAGGTTTGATCAGGTGCTTTAACTGTCCTCGGAAGCAACAAAATATGTTCTGTTAACAATGCACCCTTAACACAATCGATTTGAACATTTTACGATCTTCAATTTGAACAATGACAAAATGGATTTGCCTTAATCTTAGCCGGAATCGAAAAACTTGAATGTGTGACTATTAACCATCACTGGAACCCTCAATGACAAGGAATTACTTTGCAACATTCCGAGTAGAAATAAGGCAAGTCGTGGCAATTGAGATATGTGTTGAAATAACATTGTTAGTCCGTATTATTGTTGGGACTTGGGCCATTGTTCCACCTTTGTAACAGTCTGAAAAAATGGAAGGCAAAGTTTTCAATACCTTTTAAGTTTTTAAATGAGAAAATTAGTTGATATGTATGACATTGACTTCTCAGCGGTGCTAAAAAAGTAATGGAATAATGCCCATCATAGAGATACCAAGTATGGTCACCTTTAAAATTATCTTATATCAGGAAAGCACTATGATGTTCATTTATAAAGACGTCGTTTAATTGCATAGAGGTGCTACATTTGGATCTACTTTAGTTTCAAGAATGCAGTTTTTAGTTTTATGAGGGAAATTTTTGTGAGTGTTGAATTGTTGTGCAGCACCTGATCATTAATATGTTGGTGTTATCAATACTGAGCTCATTTAAGGAGGCTTGTACTTCTGTTTTTTTTTCCCCTTTTCTTACTAGTCATTTTAGGAAACATGTTTAAATTTTTGTTTTAAATTTTCTAGTAAACACGATTAGGCGCATGTCTTGTTGGTGAATGGTGGTTAGAATGACAAACTCACATGGGAAAAATTATTTGGAAAAATTGTTTCCCTATCTAATTTATCTTGTTAGCTCGACTTTTTTGCTCTTGCAAAATTTTCTACTGCGTGGATGAACTTTGGTAAGGATATTATCAATTAGAACTTAGAAGTTTCAAACTTGTTTAAAAGTGATTGATCTTAGTGAATGATGCTTCCTTTCAGGACTCCAGATGAAGATTTTGGCATTCTTTTGGAAGCAGCAGTTATGTATGATAGACGTGTTGCAGCAATCTTAAATGAAGTTGACTCAGTAGGGGAAGAGGCTTTTTGGAAGGAAATTTGCGACGGGAAAGAATTCACGTACCCTAGGTTATTATTCATCATTACAGGTAGTGATTCTGTTTCTTCACATACAAGAAGAGTCATCCAACTTATGGAATTTTTTTTTTGTATATTACACCTTTTGACTTAACTTTGAATGTCAACGAAGGAAAGGGACCTGAAAAAGAAAAATATGAAGAAAAAATTAGAAAACTTCACCTCAAACGTGTAGCATTCCGTACCATGTGGTTGTCAGCTGAAGATTACCCATTGCTTCTTGGTAAGTCATCTATAATTTACTGCCCATACTTTACTTTCTTCTAGTAATTGGTTCAAGATCTCTTATTTATTTATTTATTTTAATTTAAATTACAGGATCATCAGACCTGGGGGTTTGCCTGCATACTTCCTCGTCCGGGTTGGATCTTCCAATGAAGGTATATCAATGTCAAGTTCCTAGTACCTCCTGAATTTAAATATATGTTCAATAAAAAAATCTTCACTAATATAACCACTCTCTAATCCTTGAAAAATTTGTCATTAGGTTGTGGATATGTTTGGCTGTGGATTGCCTGTTTGTGCTGTTTCCTACTCTTGGTAAAACTTTTTTGAGTGATTTTTCCCTCCCCTGTACCTTTTATCGATACCATGAACTTTAGAATTAACATATTTCAACTTATATTTTGACTTTTGGAAGCATCAAGGAACTTGTAAAAGTTGAAAAAAATGGGTTGCTTTTCTCTTCATCTTCAGAGCTAGCTGATGAACTCTTGGTAAGCTTGTTTAAATTGGGAAGTGTAATATGTCATGATAATTAAGCTTTGACCATGCATAGTCTTCTCCATCACTGCTTGTCATGTCTGAAATTTGAGAATGGGGCAGGCTCAACTCACACCATGTTGTTATTATACTCTTTAATAAATTTCTGCGGAATATTGCCCTTCGCAGGGCTCCACCTTTCTCAACCTCCCCCTTTGGGGAGGAGAAATCATACCATCAGGGGCAATGACACAGTGGTGGTTTATATACCTTTTCATGTTTGTCATGCATGTTAAATATCAATCTGGTACAAGGTACAAGTGGCCTGTTTATGTAGTCATATATATCTTAATAGAATATTTGAATAATACTCTTATATTAAGCATGATATTCATGAGGTAGCCTGAATATCCAATTTTGGCATGCATGAATCATGATTTTGAAGACATTCGATTCAACAGTTGAATTGTCAAAAGATGAAACTTACAAGTTTTTAACATTTAATGTTTTCAATTTACAAACCTGCACAGATGCTTTTCAAGGGTTTTCCAGAGGAATGTGAAGCTTTGAAGTCGTTAAGGAATGGTGCATTGAAAACGGGGTCTGCTTCAAGGTGGGCAACCGAGTGGGAAGACAACGCCAAGCCTCTAATATCCGAGGCATGTCTATGTCTCTCAATCTTATGGAATTAGAAGTTCCATACATGTTCCGTTGAATTTTTATTCTAGACACATTTGATGTCTATAATGGGATTGCATTTGGGGATTTGTGCTTCATATTTGCAGGTTATTAATGGGAACTTCAATTAATTCCAGTTCTCAGCTGAAATGGGATTCAAGAAATGTTCTTGAACTGAAAGTTTGTAGCTTCAGCAATGCCAGTTACAAACATTCATCCTGCGCTGGTGGTTAATGGCAAAAGGGTTGGTGGGCTACCTTTACATGCTGGCTCAATTTATCCGGAAGGAGATTGGATTATCTAATTTAGAAGTCATTTTTAATTTTTTTCTTTTTCTCAGAGAGAGGTATGGAAAGATTTTGCCAAATTTTGAAATGAAATAAATTCATTATATAGCTTATATCATCACATATTTGTACACAGGTATCAAGTTAACATTGTTTTAAGGTAACTTTGTTTTTGTATTATTAAAAAATGCTTTCCTTGACTACCCAAACAAATAAAATTCTTTCAATACATGGCTTAAGTTTGGTTGGATATGCCATCCACGTCATAACATATACAGTACTATAGAATTTAATTTTCTTTTCTTTTTATTATTCCATAAATTTATGGTATTTTACTACTCGAGGAGGAGGACATACTTATAGTGTTGATATAATAGCATTATCAAATGTTGCCTTTCATTTATGTTATTTTAGCTGTAAAAATGTAGGGTTTCTCACCAATGACACCCAGTCTAATCTCACCAAAGACACCCAGTCTAATGGTACGATCCATCGTCCTCGTTAGGAAAATATTATGATTGAATAATGGATGTGGGTTTATTTTATTTTTAAATAAATAAATAAAATGTGTAGGTCTCTCTATCAACATTGGCAGTGCTCTTCTGCAAATTGGGAGAAGATTTTAATTTTTATCCACCACACTGTAACTCAACATGGAGGTTAGAGAAGGTACATCATACTACCCACATATAGGGAAGGAATAGGTTCAAGTCTGGATGGGCCGATGCGGGGCTTTAAGTGTAATTCTACTGACCATATTGTGGACCCAAGAAGAAGGGAAAAAGAAAAGCCTTTGGTATGAAATGACTCATTTATTAAACGGTTATATGGCACAATATGACTCATGTAAGTCGTTTAATAAATACAATTTGCTTAGTAAACTTAAACATAAATGGGTTAAATATAAATATAATGAAAAAAATAAGATAACAAATAACTAAATTCATGAAAATGATAATCAATTGAGATAATACAATTTAAAAATGGCTAATATATATATATATATATATATATATATATATATATCTCCATAGTATTGGGTAAAAATTGGTACGAATTATTCACGGTGACTTGACACGATTAATTAAACGAATATAATCGAATTAAATGAATTGGGCTTTAAAGTGCAAACACGACACGATTAATTAAACAAATTGACACAATTATGACACGAATATAATTAAGGTTAGCTAAAACTTGCTAACTCTGAATCGTGTCAAATTTTAACATCCCGAAATCTAACTATATGTAGGTTTGGAGAGTCAAATGAGATTGAAAGTAGTAAATAGAATTGCGTTTGTTTAAATTTTGAATGCATTTGTTTAAATTTTGAATACTATCAAAGGATTGCATTCAAAATTATAAAAATGACTTTGATGTGAGACAAGAACTCCAACTGAATCTATTGTGAATCTCTAACATTCTCCCCCCAACTTGAACGCCCATGACTTTCCCCATCCAGAACAAGAACCTTTAACATTCTTCTCTAATCAAACTCGCAATACCATCATTGTGGTTGGACTTACCCTTGCTTGGATTCGGACCCCTTTGAACATACGCTTGGCTTAAGACCGGATCAAGTATTGAGTTTGACTGTGATATCACTTGTAACGAATCAATCGATTCCTTCTAATCCAAGATCTAAGCTATTGGATAGTGTTACATGCCTACCCATATAAACCCCATAACTGTCTCCTTCCAGATTCAACATGGGAGAAGAACCTCTAACATTATGTACGTTGATATTTCTATTTTTTTGTTTTTCAATTTTAAGCAAGTCAATTCATTAGCTCAGTCGATATAACTTTTTCCCCTCCTTTCGAGAGAGAGAGTTGAGGAGTTCATTACCTAACCATATATATATATATAGAGAGAGAGAGAGTCTTTAAACATATGGTAAGATAGAGACTGTAGGGATGGCAATGGGGCGGTTTGGGGCAGGTTTTCCATTCCCCATCCCCACCCCCATTTAATTTTGGTACCCCCAAAACCGCCCCATAACCGTTTAAATTTTTGATCCTAATCCCCATAACCGCCCCCGCCCAGCCCCCGGCTGCCCCGCCCCCGCCCCATTACCGGTTAAATTTAAAATTTTCAAATTTTTTGATTTTTTGATTCTACACAATTTCTGTAGAACCACATAAATCTTAGAAAGAAAATGGAAATAGATTCATATCATCGTCGTATCAATCTGCAGCACCACATAAATCTACAGAATCACATCATCGTCGTATCAATCCCACAATAAAATCAGCCATAAAATAAATAAATTAAAAAAAACCCTAAGTTGTCATAGATTGAGAAAGAAAATGGAAATAGATTCATAAAATGGAAACAATATACAGAAATGCCAACTTATCGGGAAAAAAGGAATGTTCTGTATTTTAGATAGAGATAACAAGAAGAAGAAGCAAACATATTTAAAAAAAAAAAAAAACCAAAACAAAAAATATAGAACTATTGCCTATTGGATCTCTGTGTATAAAGAGAGAAAGATATACAGCTAGATGAAGACAATATCTAACCCTAACCCAAGTATCTCTTTAAATCCTCCAGACAAAGGTGGAAAACACTGAATCAAACCCATCAAATCCATGTAGGCGAGTTCAATCTTTATTACAGAAACAGACCAAAAAAGGAGAGAGACAGAAAATCTATGTATAAAAATTACCAATCTATGAAGCCAAGACCTAAAAAGAGTAGCAAATCTGAGGGGATCTTAGAGGAATACCTATTGGGATAACCTTCGACTACTAAAGAAACCACAGATACTAGGATTTTGTAAAAAATCAATGGTCAGATCTATCAGTCCCGGCAGCCACTATTAGAATATAGCGTTTGAAAGTGAAGGCTGAAACTGAAAGTAGTGAAGGTTAATTTTGTAAATATATTAACATGGAAGGGTATACTAGTAATTTAATATATTAATCGGGGCCGATTTCGGAGCGGATGCGGGGCGGGGATCTGAGTCCTTCGCAACCGCCCCAAAACCGGCTGGTTTTTTTTTTTTTTTTAACCCTCATCCCCACCCCATTTAAGTAAACAGTTCTCCAAACTCGCTTTAAATGAGGCGGGGGTGGGGGCGGGGCGGTTCCCCACCTGGTTGGGGATTTTTGCCACCCCATTCGAGCTCAAGTCTGCTATTGAACACTTGGGCCTCAAAATTGCTATCCTTATGTTGATCTCAACAGCTGTGATGGGTTCACGCCACCGCGGTATGTCTCGGTTTAAGCCCAAATCAGTTTCAAAACTTGTCTAATATATACGTGTCTCTGCTCCAAACTTGTCTCAATTGGGCCGGGCTGGGGTAATTTGCCGCATAAGGGCGATCGGTCGAAGGAGAAAGTTAGGGTTTTTAGGGGTTTTTTTCTCTCTATATAATCCAACATCCCCTACCTCCATGTATTATAACTTTAGGGTTCAGACGCCTCTTTTGCTTCATCCGCTGCGACTGAGAGGTAGCACCTTCTTCTCTCTCTCAATCATCATATCTGTAATAACATATATTATATTTGCTTTGTATTTTTCAATATCTGTTACTTGCACGGTGCACCCCGGGCTTCTCGGAATCTTTCTTGAAGAAGAAAGCCCCATTGCTCGTGCTAGATCGCCGCCGTCTAGTGTTGCAGTTTAGCCTTGTACCTCTTTCCACGGCTCTTCTGTGTCAAATTGACGGCCACATATTATCTCACCTTTTTCTAACTAAAAAAGTATTCGATCTCATAAAATTAACGTCTTTCGCAATTTATTTTTGGCTATGATTATATTTTATCCGCGCTTCTGAAAGCAATTTATGAAGCATAAGAGGAAAAAAATTTGGTTGAATTTCTTGATATGAGCCAATTCTTATACATATTGCTGTATTGTAGATTAACATATTTTTTCAATGCTTTTAAATTTAATTCTTGTATTAAACTTTCAATAGTGGCAGTGATGATTGCACAGCTAAATGCCAGTTCTGCTTCAGAAAATTCTTGATAGAAAAAGCTGTTTTCATCTGAGCCATATTTTGTTTTGGCAAAATTTGACTCAAAATCTAATTGCGTATGGTAGGTGTATATAGATTGTCTGATTTTGTGGTTAAATTGTTTTTGTTGATATGTTGGATTTCAGTGATGAGTAATCCATATTTTTTGAGGTGTGGTTGGCTTCAAGACCCTGTTTTCAGGGAGAACCTACTTGGGGTTACCACATCAAGTATGAAATTAATGGATCTTTCTGAGTCAGTTTACTATTCTTTCAATAAAAAATATTAACATGTTTTGCATATTAAATATACTCAAAATCAAATCAATTTGTTAGATTGTAGGTGCCAAGGATGATCTAATCCATGTTGTTTGAGGTGCGGCAGATCCAAGTCTCTGCTCTGCAGAAAGAACCTACTTGGTGAAGCTGCATTCACATGATATTACTGGATTTTACTGAGGCCCCAATTATCAAATCTTTGTGTATTTTTTTAACCATGTTTATGTCTCACTTTATTACTAATATATTTGTAAATTGATTGCTTTCTCGATTGAGTTTTAACTATATTCTTACCCTTTTAATTAAAAATTATGGGTGTAGAATCTGAAAAAACTCATAAATTGTGTGCTGTCATCAGCTTCTCTTTCATATTGTGAGATTGGAGTCAAAAAAGGGCACCACATTTAATAATAGTGCCCTTTATATACATAATGTTGATTATAATGGTGGATTGGAATGTTTATGGATAGAAACAGATGGGTTTCATATTTATATATATATATAGACACGCACACACACACAGTACACACATTATCTGTTTGATTTTAGTATACGTAAATCCTCTTCTTCAATGTTTTAGAAAGTGGTTTGGACTGTCAAGTGCTAGGGTTTTAGAGACTGATTCAAATGTAAAGAGTGTTTTTGATATTGTTGTTGCAAGTTCATAGCTCGTGGTGTTTTATTAATACACATATATATACCCTGTGAGGAAGAAAGCCCATGCATAGGAAGTGCCGTTTGACACTTTAACAGCAGTGGATCAAATTGCCTCTTTTTCCATCCGCCATTGCACACAAATCTTAGGGTTTGTTTGATTGGCCGGAAATTGAGTGTGGTGATCTACTGTGTGTGTGATTTAAAACGGGTCTCTGAGGGTTGTTAATTATGTAGTACTTTGTTTGAATTATGTTGTGTGTGTGTGTTGTCATTTGAATGAAGGTCTGATGCCACGTCGACGGTAGCCAATGAGCATTGACCGACGATGCTATGATTGGACCAAAATCAATTCTTTGTTTCGCATTTTTGATAGGAATCTGTGGACCGATGAAATTCAGTTCGTTCACAGAGCCGGTTTGTGCGATTACATTTTGTTATTAGTATTTTATTGTGATCTATTTTATTGTTCTTTGTTTTTAGTTCAACTGTGAAGCCAATGATGATTATTATTTAATAAATTGGAATTACCGTCTGAATTACAGATTTGATGTTAGATCGACTATCTGAGGCTTCATTCTTTATAACTCATTCTAAAAAAATGATTCAACTCAAATGATCTTTATGCTTCAATAAACATAATGCTGTCTGCTAAATAACTGAATTTAAATGATTTTATATGGTTGAAAGACCGCACAATCTTTTCCAATTCGACCGTCCGTTTCTGGTTCAAGTCGAAATTTTTAGTTTTTCCTGCTAAAGATATTTCTTCTGGAAATTTTTTGCCATTTATGGATGAGATTCAAGTAGTAGATCAGGCAGGAGGAATGAGGAATGAGGAATGAAGTTTAGAAATGATTAATGATTAATGGCAATGATCCGTTTCCTAGAACTTGGCTCTTGAGGACATAGGTGGTATCATCTGCTCAGGCCCTTAATTGGATTTATCTGTTCTAAATATTTTCTACTCATTTTTGAAAGTGTCATATTTCTCGAACTCCTACCCCGGGCATCCCCGGGCATTTATAAAAATTTAATTTATTAAAATACATTGTGGTACATATAATTTAACCTTAATCAAAACCCAAAATAAAATCATGGTTAAATTGACCTAAAAAGCAAACTTTATAATACAGTCCTTCCTTTTTAAACATTCCCTTGAGGGTTGAATTAAATTTATCAAATTTTAATATATATATATACGACTTTAGTATATAACATAAACAATTGTTGGTTGGTTGAAATTTGAAGAGAAAAAAGACAAAATTTTAAAATCCAAGAAAGTCACTCGGAAATTAAGACAATGAAGATGTGTATAATATATATTTATTAATTTTGCTTGCCTTAATTTCTTTGGCACATAAATGTGTTTATATATATAAAGTGATTTTGATCTATTTTTGAGATAAGAATACATATACTAACTCTATTCATAATTATATGATTTGTACTTCTTTGTAATTTTATTTACTTTAATAATCTATAATTATCTGATTTGTTCTACCTTGTAATTTTGTTTAAATATTATGTTATACGTATTTTAATTTTTGTATGAATTTTGTAAGGTGAGATTATTGTGTTTTGGTTTTATTTTAATTTCAATCAAGTTAAATCCTATAATATTATACTTTTTATAATATAACGTAATATTATATTTTTTATAATATGACGTAAAAAGTGTTGTTATTCGTACCTATGGTAAATTAAAACTATTTATTTTTTATTTATTTTTTCTGACTTGATCACTAAACTATGTTTCTTGTTTGAGTTGGGGAGGTGGCGTTAACAATAAACTATGTACTGTATATGTGTAAGAGAGAAACATAATAATAGAAGGTATTGGTTTCAATAATAAGATCCAAATCAACAACTCCTAAAATTTGTCCGCTATAAAATTTGTCCATATATTTTCCATATAAAATAGATCCTTAAATCCCTTCATTCCCATTTACTTAGGCTATGTTTGGTAGGATGGGTTTGAAGGGGGAGGATAACATTAGTTATAAGAGAAAGGGAAGGGAAGGATAAGTTTAATCCTCAATCGTGTTTGGTTGATTAATGAAGGAAAAGAAAGGGAAGAATAACAATCATGTTTGGGAAAAGAAAGGAAAGGGAAGGATAATAAAAAATTTACTATTATGCCCTTTATATATTTTAAAAGATAAATTTTTAAATTTAAATACGCAACAATATTTTTGCCCCAAGATTCGGTTCTAAGGTTCAGTTTGGTAGCAAATGCCACATTCATCTTCTCTTTCCAAATCAATATTTCAAAACTCAACAGCACTTAACTAATTTATGCAGTGGTAATCTGCTCGTGTGCAGCTGATTAAGAATGGGAAGAAGATAGCTGCATTTGTACCCAATGATGGTTGCTTAAACTATAGTTTCCTCAATATAGTTTAGTGTAGATCTTCTTTAATGTATCAAATCTTATAAAAGGAGCCGGCTCAAGTAAAAGTGGAGGAGGCTCCAATATGAATGGAGCAGGCTCTACTTTAAGTAGAGGAGGCTCCAATATGAGTAGAGCAGGCTCCCAATTACTAGATCTTCCTTCAAGCAAGTAACAACAGAGAAAAGTAAAAAAATGATCATTAATTTAATCTTTAAATTTGGCTTCTTACTTTTTTGGGTGAGAGGGGTTTGATCACAAATGTAATCAATGATGATCAACAACATAAAACAGTAAGTTAGGTTCTTTCTGACTTTATTTAAATAAAAAAAAAACTTAACAACCCAAGGCATGAAGTGGATCGAACATACAGATCCACCAATTTCTTGCAAATACCATATCTTCAACTGAAAAGAATCAAAGACACCAAAAGATTCTATAGTGAATTATGTTTGTGCTAATTTCGACTAAAAATTAAGAGCAGGAATATATATAAATTGAAGAGGGAATTTCATGGATTTAACATACCAGTGAAGGAACCCATCATATGGAAGAATTCGCCCAAAGCAAGATGAAGTCTCCTAAGTCAGTTTGCTCTCTGGAATGTTTCAATAATGACCCCAAATTAGGAAGTGCCGAGATATAATGGGAATAGGACACTTGAAGGGAGCCGGCTCAACCATGATCATGGAGCCGGCTTTTATGGGTTTTTGAGAGGTGCCGAGTGAAATAGGAAGGATGTAGATGAGTGGAGCCGGCTCTCTTGGGCATTTGAGAAATCCCGAGAGTTGGTGTATGCAGGCCAATAAAGGAGCCGGCTCAACCTATTTCTAGAGGCGGCTCTTCTTGGAGATGCCGAGAGCATGGATTTAGGAAATTTAAGGAGCCGTTACAAACCTTTCCCTTCTATCTCTATCATCAACTTCCTCCTCCGGCACAGAGACCATGCAGTGAACCCACTTCCCCTTCTCTCTCTCCCATACGTGAACCCACTTCCCCCTTTTCTCTCTCCTATTTCTTCTTATACCAGTGAATTTTGGCGCCTTTGTTCCCGCGCTGAATATACGCCTTCCTTTGTTCCCGCGCTGAATACAGGCCCTAATATGAAGAGCAAATTTGAGGGTAAAATTGGCCTAACAAATATTTTGTATGCCATTGCCTTCCCTTTCCTTCCTTATCCTCCCAATTTTGGAAGGTTAAAAAATTACTGTACGTTGCTTATAAATAACCCTCCAAACCCCTCCCTCTCCTTCCCTTTCCCTCCACTAACTTTACCCAAACACAATTTTTTTATTACCCTCCGTCCCCTTCCCTTCCCTTTCCCTTCAAACCCATCCTACCAAACTGACCCTTAGAGATGTGGAGAATTTTTTTTTTTTTTTAACTTCCATAAAGGGTTATTTAATAGATGGTGTTTTGTGTGTGTGTGTATATATATATAATATCTCAACGCGAATTCTTTTCTTTTTCCTTCCTCAATTTTAGATCAATTTAATCTTGTTATTGTTAGAAAATTTTAGAAAGGGAAAGTGAGAGAGAGAGAGAGACATGAAAGAAATCTCAAATCATAAACTCCATCAACACCTTTCTTGAAAATCAATTTGATGAACATTCAAAAGGTAATAAATTGAGTCGGGTAGATAAAGATGAATGACCTGGGCTAATTTTAGGATTTCGCTAAAGGGGGCCATCACTGAGCTTTTGCCATGAGATTTTATCCCCTATAATATTATCGTTGATCAAGTTATAGGGTTGCAGTATTCTCTTCCCTTGAGCATTCCCTATAAGTAAGATCAAACCCAGAAACTTAAGTTTGAAAGGAAGATTCAACCTAACCCAAGAATCGATATAGTCCCAATTTAGTCAATAGCTAACAATCTATGGGGGTGGTGGTGGTCGGCCGGAAGAAAAGGTAAGCGGGTGGGGGATTATTGTGTGTATACTCTGTATGTTTATATATATATAAAAGCATATATTGGGTAGTTCAATCATTTTCATAGCAACTTGAGGGCATTTCAGTAAATTAAGCAGGCCCGTTAGTCCATTTGTCGGTCCATCACTATTAGAGGAGGTACACGTAGGTTAGTTTCATTTTTAGAGGAGGTCCGAGTAATTTCACTATGAGGGGAGATACATGTAAGTTAGTTTTATTTTTCAGGAGGTCTGAATAATTTCTCAAATCATAGGGGAGATCCTTTTAATTATGACACATCATAGAGGAGGTTCGTGTAATTTATCCTTAAATTATCAATTTAAACAGTACAACCTTTTTAATTGACTTAAATGCCCTTCATTACTTTTTGATACATTAAATTGTACAACCTTTTTTTATTGACTTAAATGACCTTGGATCTAAATTTGATCTACCATCCATCTTAGCAACCAAATGTTTCTTTCTTTTCACTCTCTTCATTCTTTCCTCTCTCAAACCTTAACCCAAACAAGAGTATATGTGATGACCCTGTGAGCGGGTGTGTCATGGGCAGGTGCGAGATACTGACAGGCTACCACACTGGTGAGTTACGGGTGCATAATCCCACATCGCCTGGGAAAGGGAAAGGTGAAGTGCTTATATATAGGTGTGTCACTCCAATTGGTATGAAGCCTTTTGGGATAAAGCCCAAGAGCAAAACTGTACGGGCTCAGGCCCAGAGCGAACAATATTATACCATGCGGTGGAGTGGGTCATTACAATACACCTCTTGGTGATTGAACCATTACCACCATCGCCCTACGAAAAATCATCCACATTGGGAAGGATAGCTATTACTTCGGCTCAACAGTCAACATCATCCCCATAAAGAATGAAATCTCATATAAAGAGCGTTTGGAATGTGATTATAATCTCGAATTTGACCAGCGCATAGAACTGCTTCGTGTGAATAACCAAAGTAAAAAAGTTTCTTTCTTTGATTTTGGAGTAGAATGTGACGGCCTAAGTTTTTATAACCCTGTGCGTCAGTGATGACCTAAAGATGACCCAATAACGGATCCAAAATGAGAAAGCGAAAGAAGTAAAATGGCCTCTAGAGATGTACGTCATCCCTAAGGTACCAAAATGACTCCCCAAAAAGCTGCAAAACTCAAATGAGCCAAGCAATGAAACAAGAATGCCAAACCCGAAGAGAAATGAACCAAGGACAAAATGGTCATTTTATACTGAAATGGGTACCACCGTGCTCACCA